ATTTACGGTCCACAGCAAAAGTGTTCCTCTTTTGTAGATCTTTCCACCCATATACCACAATTGACTGAATTTATCTAAACAAAATATTTATAAACAAAAAACCAAAACTGTGTCCAACCCTGACACTATTCCCCTAAATATTTAACAAAAATGTCCTACTTTTTAAAAAAGTATATTATGACAAGATTTATATATATACCTCTGTATATATTAATCTAAAGACACTCTAAAACATTTAACAAACTATCAAAAGTACGTTCATAATATAGAGAGTTGCAAATAAGATAAAAAAAAAACCCCTACCAAATACAGCTTTTAATGTTGTTTATACATAAGCTGATATAAATCGAGATATTTTTTATATAGAGATGGAAAAAATTCCGATTTAACTATTTGCAAAATTCATAAGCACACCTAGAAGTCACACATCTAATTAATGACATATATAAAGATACATCTATATATATATAGAAAAATGTATAATAGGCTATATTTCAAAAAAAAAAAAAAATGAAAAGTTATTGTTTACAATTTTTAGATCAACTCTCGACCTGTCACTCAGTTTAAAATGTGACAAATACAGAAAATTGTGAAAAAAATCCTCTCGTACAATTTCAACAGAAAATCAATGTCAAAATTATACCAACTAATAACTGATCAAATTAATTTTCTTAAATTTATTATCAACAGTTGGATAATATTATGAAAAATTTCAAAAAAAAAATTGAATAATTTCTGAAATAAATTTTAACTGACTTTATTATTCAAGATTTTTTTGTTCATAAATCAAAATTCTTTGACCGATTTTCAACAAGTTCCGATTAAAAAACAAAAGCGGAAAAAATAAATTTATAAATGTATAAATTATCTATTACAAAATATTTTTTTTCTTTTATTAAAATACTTTTAGAATTATAGATTTAAATAATAGGTATATTCAAAAAATTAGATTTTCATTCGAAAAAAAATCATATTAAATATTAGAAAAAGCATATATATATATATATATTATATATATATTACGATAAAAATATTGTAGCATCTAATAAATAATATGAAATCGCAAAATGATATACACAGTCACGTGCAATTATAAATTTCCGATTTAAAAAACAAAAACTCAGCAAAAAACCAATTTAATCGATTTAAATATCGAATAAATATGAATTTTACTAGTGCAAGTTGTATTTTAACAAAAAAAAAAAAAAAAAAAAAATTTAGTAAGCGGATCATTTATTTAATTCTAAATCAGGGAAATATAAATGCATGAGACCGTAGGCAATCCGTGACGTTACTACAACACGTTGTCCTTATAAGGATGAACCCCACTTTGAAGGGTCGGAAAAGTCCTTATTCTAGAATTCTTTTTCATAACTAGAATTTTCATTCTTTCATTAAAATGTTCATATATGTATGTGTTCTTAATTTCAACCAATCAGAATGGGGTTAAATTTAAATTTTTTAAAAAGTCGTTCTCAAAAATAGAAAAATTAAATTATTAAAATCTGTTAATGAAACAAAAAAGAAATTCGTCCACACATTGAATTTTTAAAAATTTTCTATATTATTTAATTAATTTTTTTTTAATGTCCTACATTATTCAATATGAAAAATTACACTGAAAAAAAAATTTATTTGATTCAAATACCGGTGTATATGGTTATTATCAAATAAATATTTACTTAAATCAAATATTTCATATTTGAATCAAATAAATGGTATTTGCTTCAAATACTGAAATATTTGATTCAAATAAAAAATATTTGATTCAAGTAAATATTTATTTGATAATAACCAAATACACCGGTATTTGAATCAAATAAATTTTTTTTTTCAGTGTAATATGACCCAAAAATGTTTAAGAATTATTAAAACAAAAAAATTATGTACTGAAGCTGCATAAAAAATTGCAATATGTAATTATTATTCATTAGATGAATTTTTATTTTTTGAATTATCATTTCACAGAATTTTTTTTAAACGAATTTTTACTCAACAAAATTTTTAATTACTAAATTTTTATTTTAAAGAATTTTTCTTTATCAAATTTATATTTAAAAAATTCTAATTAAACTGAATATTAATTTAGCAGAATTTTCAATTGACCGAATCATAATTTGTCCGAATTTTTATTTGATAGAATTCTTAAAATGACGAATTTCCATTTGTCCGAAGTTGCAAATGCCCGACAAATAATGAACAGATTTCATCACGAATTTTAAAATTAACCAATCAGAAATTGTCAAGAAAATTGTGATTTATTTATTTTAAAATTCGTGTTGAAGTCTGTCAATTCTTCATTATGGACATTTGCAAACTTCGGACAAATGTAAATTCGGCATTTTAAGAATTCTATCAAATAAAAATTCGGATAAATGAAGATTCGGTGAATTGAAAATTTTGCTAAATTAATATTCGATTAAATTAGAATTTTATTAAATATAAAGTTGATAAAGAGGAATTCTGCAAAATAAACATTTTGTAAAATAAAAATTCGGTACTTAAAAATTGATTTAAAAAGGAATTGTGTCAAGACTGCTAATTTGAAAAAAAATTCATTTAAAAAATAATTATATCTATTAAAATTCTTTAAAATAAAAATTCTAACCATTGATTTTCATGGAAAATTCATGCGCCTCACAAAGATAACTGCTAGCAATGGTAATTTTTAAAATTGTTGACTTCTAACAGTGTTAACATTTAGCAATGATAGATTAAAATTACGGTTAATTTTAAATTGTTAACAATGGTATATACTAAATTTTATAACTACTGACAATGTGTAATTTTTAACGTTGGCAAATTCAAACATTACTATATAAACTGGTAACCAAAACATTGGTAACTCTGCTAATAAAAACAATTTCTGTTTGAAAAAATATAATATATAACAAATGTTAAAAAATATAGGTGCCAAAAAAAGTAATTGCTATTAAGGGGGGGCGCCTACTTTATCGGGTCAAAAAAATCGATTTTTTAAAAGTTGTCTTAACTGAAAGTACAACTATCAGAGAATATGCTCTTAAAATATTACGTCAAAATACAAAGTATTTTTCGAGTTACAGCTTGTAGAACGCAATAAAGCGCGTGGCCTGGCGCGCGACTCCACTCGCGTTTCGCGTTCTCTAATACTTTTCATAATTTGTTGCGCTTATCTACTATTACACCTACCATTAAAATTACCATTTATCAGTAAAATTTCGTCTTATCCAAGAGCTACCCATAAAAAAATAGTCGTTCATCGAGGCCTGTGACTGCCGTAAGTTTTTAATAAACAGTTTTTCAATCTTTAAACTCGTTTTTCTCAAAACACTGTTTTTGTAGTTTGCGTACACGATAGACAAAAATCTATTCAACCGATTAAGGTCTACCTGGGCTTGTTTTAAAGAAAAAAGTGTCTCTTATGTATGAACTAAATTTGTTTTTGATAGAGTTAAATTTAGTGCTTTCTTTTAAAGAAAAAATGAGATTTTTTTGGCGAAAATTAAATTTTTTTTTAAAAAGTCATGTAAAAATGTCAGTTTTTACTTTCTATTGAAATCTTTTAATTCATACAGAAGGCAATAATGTATATTTAAAGAAAAAATTTTGTTTTTTTGTTTTAGATAAGAATTGTGGACCCTAGGTTGCACGCAATGGGAAAATTTCAGCAGCGAGGCGTTATATATATATATATATATATATATATATATATATATATATATATATATATATATATATATATATATATATATATATATATATATATATATATATATATATATATATATATATATATATATATATATATATATATATATATATATATATATATATATATATGGCGTTTATTTTATTATTAAATTCTATTTTCATTTAATCAAAAAATTATATTTCAAACATTTAAATATATAAGAAAACATACACTAAATCTCGCATCGATTTATTTAAATATGTTTGAGAAAAAAATTCCTGAAATGTACGCAGTTTTTTACCTTCTAAAGTAGGCGCCCCCCTTAAAAGAAGACACTAACTTTGATTACTGTATATATAGTCATTTCTAACGTTAGAAAATTTTGAAAATGCAAACATCTAACAATGGTTGATTTTAACGTTATCAAATTCTAAAAGAAGGGCAATTGTAAACAATGGTAATAGTATCAAGGTTGTTTTGAATTTTGTAAAATTCTAAAAATTCTAAACAAGCTGATTCTAAAATCACCAACAATGATAACACAGGCCTGCAAATCCAAACTTTTTTTCGGCATAATGAATGCGACTAGGTGTTCCCGAAGGGAAATTTTGCCCTGAACACGAATCCGGGGTCCAAAATCCTCCATCACGTCAAGTTTTTGAGAAAAATGGGGTTGAAACCCCTAAAAACAGCGTTTTTGGCACTTTTTGAAAAATTGTGGGGCAAAATCCTGACATGATAGAAACTTCGCTAATATCAGAAATTAAAGCTTAATTCGTGCCCTTTCAAATGAGCCCTTAGCCGATTAATATGCTTCAACCCTTAAAGCAGGGGGTGAGTTTTTGTCCAGGGGTGCGCCAACATTAAAATACTAAAAATTGGAAATCTAGAGGATAAAAAAAAATAATTATTATAGAAATGGACCGGCAAAATGTTCAGGGCAAAATTTCCCTTCGGGAACACCTAGTCGCATTCATTATGCCGAAATGATGCAGGCCTGTGTAATCTCTCTGCGTCAATAATACTAAAACAAAAGAAAAAAAAAAACTAAAAACAATTGTCAAATTATTCAAAAATATCAATTAGTGGACATTTTATTGCTTCATTAACAGAATTAACAATTTCTGAAACCTTTTTTAATGAATTATTTTTCAAAATAAAAAAAAAAAAACATATAGGTATTCAATTTCTGATTGTATTTAAAATTTTAGAATTATATTTTCAGTACAAATATGCTATCTATATTACTAAATATGAAGATAGTAAGCGAGTATTATGAATGAGATGGGAATGAAGTATTGCTATAAGAAGGTAAATGAGCTTTTACCTGTCGAAATTGTCGAAAGCCGCCATTGATCCTGAGTGAGTCCGCTGCGATACCGGCAATTCCATCGCCAGGTTCACGTAGTTGCCGCAACGATGCGGCGCTAGGAGCGTTTCCGGCGTGCAGGGGACAGCAGCATCCTGAACAACAACAAACATAGGCTTCCGGCTGCGAACTCTGACGGATCATTCGCGCACTTGGTGTTGTCGTTACTAAAACTGGTAGTGGCAGCGCTTGACATGGGCAACAATGATGTCCGCTTTTCACACTTTCCCTATAAAATTAATAGTAATTTAATCCTCATTATAATAAATAAACTGCAAAATTTTATCAAAATATATATATACAATGTCTTAACAAAATAACATGATTTATTAGATTTTCAAACTGTTACGCTTCATTGTTTCACATGGATATAATTACAAACTTGGCGAATGTTAATACTCTTGTACACGTCCAATGTGTGTAAAGAAAATTTGAATTTCATTTGAATTAATTTGAATGAAATTTTGCTACATTGCGACGAGGGAAAATTTCACTTTAGCATAGAAATACAAATTGCAAGGAATATAAAGCTTCTATATTTTTAATCCGGAAATTTGTCATTTTTCTCCCATTTAAATTTATAATAGAGAAATAAAGCAGAAGATTTTTTTTTATGTTTTACGAGATTTTGTAATTTCTTTTTTTTTTTGAGGGTTTTTTTTTCTTTTAGACGAAAAATCAGTTTTAAGAGAGAACATTTTTTTTTGTACATACATCTGTGATGTTATTATAAATAATTAATAATTGCTAATGGTTAAAATCGAGGGGGAATTTACTAGTTAAAAATGTGTACACTTGACTACCGGTATTACACCTCATATTACCCGTATTACTAAGTATTACACGTTATTACAGAGTATTACAGGGTATTACAGAGATTTTTGCGTTATTACAGCACCGTAATACGGCATTATTACAAGGTATTACACGGTATCACCAGGTATTACACGAGTATTACAGGATGAGTGTACACTTGACTACCTGAGTAAATTCCCCCTCGGTTAAAATTAATTAATAATTAATTATTATTATATTATTTAGATATAATATTATAAATGATTGTAAAATTAAATGATAAGAAATTTTTATTAATTCACATAAAATTTATTATTCTTTTTGACGTTATAATTTCACTTTAATTTATATTCCGGAAGTTTTTGCATTTTTGCAAATGAATTCTGAGCATTTTTAAAAATATTTATGTACTTCAAGTGAAATATGAATTAATTTAAATGAAATTTGTTGTATATTTTGTAAAAGTTAAAGTAAAAGTAATAGAAATGAACAGAGAGAACATGAGTTCTTTCCAAGGTTATTAAATTATAGATAAATGTAGCTTTATATTTGCATAACTAAGTGGTTTATTTAATTTTTTTTAAAAAAAGAGTTGTTTGAACTTTAAACCTTCATTTTCAATTTCATTTTCCTTTTTAAAGCTTTTAAAATGACATTTTACAAGGAAAAGTATGAATTATGAACTCTCATTCTGTCAGGTGTATTTACTGGTAAAGAATGTCTGACTAAAACGGGTTTGTTCCACTTGAGACACATTTCTTCAAAAACAACATTTTACGACCCAGGAATTCGCAATAATGTGAAATTATTTCGTCGAAATAATACGAAAATGATATTTTAATATCGCAGACATAATCAAATATAATATATTATAATATAATATAACAATAATAATATAATATAGTACAATATATTTATAAAATAAAACTTAAACTATTTTTACTTTAGCCTTTTTCATATTAAAAAAAAAAATAATGACAACCATAAAATAATATATCTTGATAACTATATTGAGGGCAAATGAAAAAAAAATGTAATCTATATTTTACAATTATTAAGACTAATAAATTACTTTGGCATTTATGTCACCGTTCTAATTTATTTTTTTCTTCTACCTTTAAGAGTCCGAATAGGAAAATGTAGGATTTAAAGCTTATCTCAAAGAAGTACCCTTAACCCTTTCGTTATCGTTCTTAAAGCTTTCTGTCTTTTCTCCAAATAAACTTTTATATTGAAAAACTTTAATTTACCTTCAGTCCTCAAATTCAAGTCGTAAGTTATTTAAAAAAAAACACAATTAAAAAAATTAAATTTAAAAAAAGTGTTTTTTAACATTTTGATTTAGCAGATTTTATTATTTATTCATTAAATAAGCTAAATTAGATATGATTAAAAAACAGATAATTAGTATAAAAGTAAAAAAAAACACAACTATATCGACAATAGAGATTTGATTAGATAAAAATTTCAATATTAATTGAAAAAAACAAAAGTAACATTTTAATACATTTGACAAAACTTTCTATAATATGTGTGGTATATCAATTATTGGTAAAATATTTATATCTTGACAAAAGAAAATGTAAAATCGATATTTAATGAATTTATTATTATATAATTCAATGAAAAATTCTCTCTTTTCTGGGTTAACTGCATGTTAAATACTTTAATTACTAAACACTTTTGAGACGTGAATAAAGATGCCTCGAAAGATAGCAATGCATGAAGATACTTGACCGATAATAGGTTGATGAAAAATTGATTTTAGTCTTCGTTCAACGAACGCATTTATCTTTGGCATGAAACGCGCGCGACATCTAATATCATCGTTTATCATTGTATTGCTTTTGAATTTTTTTTGAAGGACATTTAAAAATACTCTATTCTGTTGAACGTTGTAAAAATAAAACTTTTTTCAAAATCATTATGATAAAAATAAGACAAAACAAAATAATATTAATAGAGTAGATTTTGTTTACACACGTGGTTTGAAACAAAAAATATAATCATGTAAATTTTAATTTAATAAACATGTTCTCTTTATGAGAACATGTTTGTTTTTCCTAAAAAAAATTTTTTTCCCTCTAATTTTCAATATGATGTTTTATATACACTGAAGAGGACACCAACGTTTGGTGTCGAAACGTCTGTAATTTTTTTGTGATTTATTATTAATAAAATAAATCATTTTTTGATCCAGTATAATCCTGTTTTTCAACAAATTATATATACATCTGGATGAAACTAAAACTTATGAAATATTAATACAATTTTTAAAAAAATATAAATAGCCTACTTGAAGTTAAATTTAATATATAAATAAATTATTTAACCTCGATTTTCGTTTGCAGGAAGTTATAAACATTTTTCGTGTTTTCATCAGGTTTCATTTCGAAACAATCGAAAAGTCAATAAAACTTTTGTTCCTTTCCGTGACAGTGTGAATATTCGTCATGTGATGGAAATATGCTAGGAAAGTGACTTTAATACAACTTTTGTGAAAAAGATTCGTTTCTCTTTTTTTTTCTTGACGAGTATAAAATTTTAGGATCTGTATATATATACATATATAAATTCGAGAATGAGACAACAGGTGGAAATAAAAATACTTTTTCACAGTTTTTTTTATTACTTTCTCCCGTGGGCAAAAATTCCATCTAAAGTCGCAGAAAAACAAATGATAATTTTGGGCGTAGAATTTTTTTTTTTTTTTTTTTTTAAATAAAAGAAAGTTTTTTAAAATTAAAATTCAAAAAATTTTCAGTGCAAATAAATAATAAGAATGCAAAGAAATAAAATTCTTTTGTTCCATTGAGATGTGAAAATAAAATCAATATATAAAACTCGTTGTTGGCCGTATATCAACACTGAAAAAAAGGTTTGGTATTGACAAACAAACGTTTGGTTGGTATTTAAGCAACCAAAATTTTTTTGTTGAATCAACAAAATTTTGGTTGTCTCAATTAAACTTTAGTTAGGATAACAAAAATCGTTTTTTTCTAATTTTGGTTGTGTCAAACAAATTTTGGTTGAGACAATTAAAATTTTGTTGATTCAACAAAAAAATTTTGGTTGCGCTTAAATACCAACCAAACGTTTGGTTGTCAATACCAAACCCTTTTATCAGTGAAGTATCATAATTTGTTTTTCTGAGAGTCTTAAAAATTTTGTTACAATAAAACTAAGTATCCAGATAAAATTAAAATGTGTATACTATAAAATAAAAGGAAAACATTTTTTTCAAGTGGGCACTTGAAAAGTCAATAAAAAGAAAAGTGTTTAAGTTGAAAACAATGGAAACCAAGGAATGAAACAATGATGTGACCATTAAATAAGTCATGCATTTAAAATGAAAGACGTGTTTACTGTAAACTAAAAAGGAAATATTAAATTTTCATTGTCTAGCGGCAAAGAACATTACGCCCTTTATAACATTATTTTAAATGAGACTTTATTATTTTTTATTTTAATTATTAACAAATATTTTTATCAACGTAAAATATTATAGGTACATAAAAATTTCCTGAAAGGTTACAGTAATAATTAATAAGTAAAAATAACGAGGAAAATATTACTGAATATAAAGAATAAAAATATTATAGTAAATTCTTTTTAAGAGCATTTGAACCTTCGTGACGTCACAAATCATGGCGCATGACACGCAAACTTCTCAGGTATGTGAAAAGCACAATTTTGAATATTTTTTAAAAAAACCTTTTGGAAAATGTTCAGAATAACATAGACTCTGTCTGTTATGTGCGGAAAATTCAAAATTTTGCGTTTAAAACGTTTTTTAAACAATGTTAAGGTCACAAATTATGGCGCATGACACGCAAACTTCTCAGGTATGTGAAAAGTACAATTTTGAATATTTTTTAAAAAAACCTTTTGGAAAATATTCAGAATAACACAGACTCTGTCTGTTATGTGCGAAAAATTCAAAATTTTGCGTTTAAAACGTTTTTTAAACAATGCCTACATATAAGCAATTCGTGTATTTTTCCTTACTTGTGACAACCAACTTAAACATTGTTTAAAAAACGTTTTATACGCAAAATTTTGAATTTTTCGCACATAACAGACATAGTCTATGTTTCTCTGAACATTTTCCAAAAGGTTTTTTTAAAAAATATTCAAAATTGTGTTTTTCACATACCTGAGAAGTTTGCGTGTCATGCGCCATGATTTGTGACGTTAACATTGTTTAAAAAACGTTTTAAACGCAAAATTTTGAATTTTCCGCACATAACAGACAGAGTCTATGTTATTCTGAACATTTTCCAAAAGGTTTTTTTAAAAAATATTCAAATTTGTGCTTTTCACATACCTGAGAAGTTTGCGTGTCATGCGCCATGATTTGTGACGTCACGAAGGTTCAAATGCTCTTAAAAGAAGCTGTAGAATTTAAAAAAAAAAATGTGAAAAATTTCAAACTGTTGTTTGAAATTCCGTCAGACTGCATTGCAGGAAAAATCGAAATTTTAAAATAAAAATGGCAAATCTGCAAAAGCATTAACTAGCATGACAAACGAAAGGGTGTTTGAATTTATCACGATGAATTATTCAAATATGTAAACCAAAGCATCCGGATTATGAACAAGAAAAATGTTCTCGTATCGTCAAATTATGCCGATATTCATATATATATATATATATATATATATATATACATACAGAATCACCTCATTCCTATTGTATTCAGTAAATTATTTTTCTAATAGGCATGTAAATCACGTCTTTACAGATTTTGTAAATCGTTACAGTATGCATTCTAAATTTATTCCTTTTTACAAATAATCGTTTCCTATTTCTTGACAATTAAAAAAAATTGCCCTCTTATAGATTCTAACTATATTTATTAAGAGTTTCAGGTGTAAAAAAAAATAAAAATAAAATAAGACTAGTGTTAAGCGAAAAAGTTGACTTCAATAAAGTTAAAGTAGTTTTAAGCTACGTAATAAGAATTTTTAAGACTTTGTTTTCACTGTGTTTAAATATAAACTGAGTTTAAAATGTACATTTATCTACTTCAAAGGGTTTGATGAAATTATTATGCGAGATATATTTAAGTTGGGATTGCTATAGAAACGCGAGACATGTCTTCCAAGTTACTGACGTGACCTGTAAGAAGCTCTATATATTCATTCGCACACGGAAAAGATCTTTCACGCTTCCTTTGTATTTTAGTTTTGTAACTCTGCGTTATCAAAACAATTACATAAATATTCAATTATGACTAATTCATATTTTCCCATCGCAACAATTCCAATCCAAATTGTATTTGTATAATTTATTACGATTAGAAAATATGAATCAGACACAAAATATTAGAAAACTGTTTTTCTATTTTATTTAATAAATAAAATGAAAAATATTATTTTAAACATTTAATTGTGTTATTTATAAAAATATACCTATAATAAAATGTTTCATTAAAAAAGTTCAATAAATTTATTAAAACAAATAAACAAACAGTATGAAAGTTTTCAAGCAAATTCAATATTATTTTCATTTAGAGAAATTGATTAGATTTTTCAATTTGTTTGTAAATTACATCCAATCAACAAGATTTTTTTTTTTTTTTTTAAACGTATATTCATATTTATTTGTATGTATGTATGCATATATACATAAATATAAATTTTATTTAAAAATAAAAAGTTTGTCTCACAAAAGTTTAACGTTACAACTGATTAACTAATTGAAGTTCAGGTAAGTTGAGATTGAAACTAGAAATGAACAGAACTCCAATTTCAACTCCTATTTCAAACTTTGTTGTCGAAAACAATTGAATCGTGTCTGTTATTAATTCATTTGCAGTAAATTTCGAAATGACAACGTTTATCATTTTATATTTCTTTTCAATTAGTCAACGACAAAAAAAGTTAAATAAATGTACGTATGTAAATTTATTTAATATACATATAGTTAAAATTAAGAAATAAAATTTTATAAAATAAATAATAAATTAATAATAAAAAATTAATTTAGAATATTTATGAATAAAGATTAAATAACATTTTTAATCAGATACATTATTATCATTGAAAAAAAAATAAAATAATAATGTACACCTGTAAAGTAATAAATTTCTTAAATACCTAAAAGTCATTAAATGAAGAACATGGTTTGTGTGTTTTTAGCACACGGTGTGTGTAAAACCAAAGTAACAGAAACTATTCTCTTAAAAAAGTAAATGAAGACAATGAAAACCTTCCGTTGAGTTTTCATTTGCTTTTAAGAGACATTTTATTACTTTTCTTTTTTAAAAAAAATTATTTTTAAGTAAATAAATAGATTTTCACGAAAAATTAGGTACACAATAAAAACAAAGTCTTCAATCTTTTACTACTTTCATTTCATTAGTTGACATATTGGTTCCTCTATTTTTAATTTTTTGAAAATTTCTTTAAATTCGTAAGTAAGTAACCCTAAAAACCTTCCAGCAAGGTAAAAAATTAATTAAAACAATTTAATTTCTAACATTTGGAATCATTAAAAAATTTTACAATTTTGTGGTAGATAGTTAAGTAGGATTAAGTTTCATTTTGACTATCCGTCCGATTCTTCTCTTAAAAACTCAAAAATAACGAATTTCATATGAATCCAATGCTTAGAGGCCATCCATAAACTACGTTACCTATTTTAGGGGGTCTAAAAAGAATGGAAAATTGGTGACGTAGTTTATGGACGGCCCCTTAAGGAAACATAGTTTTCCTAACCAAAACCAATCTTACGTAACTAAAATAAAAAATAATTTTAAAATTTTACTTACAATTAGTTTTGAAATAGTCATTAGCTACAATAATATTATATCATATCTGAAAGTACTATTCTTTCCCTTTAAAATGAATTTTAAAACTTTAAAATTTTTTTATTCGGCTCTGAGTTATCGTCATTTGAATTTTTGAAGCATGACACTGCTCTGCAAATCTCAACTTTTTTTTTACGAATAAAATGGAACATAGTGTTTCCAAACAGATTTTTCCTACTGAACACGAATCCGAGATCAAAAATTTCTCATCACGTTACGTTTTCGAAAAAAACCGGGGTTTCAATCCCTAAAAATAGTGTTAATTGACATTTTTGAAAAATTGCAAAGCTATATCCTAACGTGCTACGAACTTCGCTAAAATGAGCTTTATGCCAAACTGTTTGCATGCACACTTAGAGCAGGTGGTGTGTTTATATCTAGTGGTCTATTCTGAGGTTATATTCGAATTCATCACGTCAAAATGCTTCGGAAAAGTATAGTCTGGTTCTTGGTTCTGAAGTAACCCAAATAAATAAATTTAAAACAAATAAATTTTTTAAAAACATACCTTGATACACTTCGGGCCAAGTGCAGTGCAGATGACGGTGCCAAAGAGTCCCTCCTCTCGCAACGACATCGATGCTGAGTAGACGTGAGCCTGGATCGGTAATATTGAGGGATCGGGGCCACCACAGGTTGAGGATCACTGTCTAGCCTGCAATGCAACTCTATGTCGGGTACCGATCTTGTGGCGGGATCTTCATTTGTTGCACTTTCCTCAGAGCCACCAAGTCCTGACACTGATAGTTGTGGTGACGCTACCAGAAATGTGGCTCTATCTTGTCTTGTGAGTACCGGCTTTCCCTGTGGTGTTGGCGGCACCACCACTGGTGGCGGTGCCTTACTTATAAGAGCGGCAGTTTCCTCACTGCTTCCATAATCGTTCCCTGTTCCACCCTCTTGCGAACCATTTCCATCAGCGTTCATGGCTTCGCTTGGCGTTTAAACCAACATTACGTCACATGACCATTTCCTACAACAAAAAGATACAAGTATCGCGTTTATGATTGTATTTTGCTAATCATGTTATATGCGAAATCTCATACACAAAATTTTACTTATTATAATGTTAGAAATTAGTTTTCGATGTGTTAACATTTTTAAAATTTCCATGTACTTTTCCTTACTTGCTGCATGAGTATGGTGCAGTAAGGGGATCGAAGGGTTACATTTGAGATCCGCGACTTGGATTGCCTCACCCAGATAGAATAGGTCAAACAAGCGTTGGGAAAAGATCTCAGGAAGCAGGAAGGTGACAGTCTTAGGACTCAACTGTCGAGGGATGAAGCTCGTCGTTGTAGTTACCGACCCGGAAGAAACGGACATGCTGGAGAAATTGCACAAGAAAAGTCTTGGGCGTTCAGACTTCCCAACGCATATATCGGCATATCTCTAGAACTTTTAAACTTTGAGATATTAGAAAAATTAATTTTTTTTCAGGGCACATTCGTGAAACAAATTTTATTGTCTTCAGTATTGATCAAATACTATAAAAAAATTTGCGTAACTCATTTTTACACATTGTTAGGCATCACAGTGGGCCTTATTGCAAAAAACCTGCCCAAAATCTCTACATGTGTTTAAAACTGACTGGAATTTGTAACTCGCGGATTTTTTTGGTCGCTGATTACAAATGCGACGTTAGTTTTTCAAAATTCAAAATGGCGGATCCAAAATGGCGGACGACTTTTAAAAAAATTGATCGAATTTGTCTGAAATTTGTTACTCGGGGGTTTTTTGGGTCGCTACCACCTTTAAAATGATTTAATGCTACAGTTTCGAAAATTTTATGGCCTATTGCTTATTAAGTCATAAGTAAATGTAGTTTATAACAATTTTTGAATTTTTAAAAATTTTTTAAAAAATTTTGTTTGCAATTTTGGATCCACCATTTTGAATTTTGAAAAATTAAGTTCAGATTCGTAATCAGCGACCCCATAAACCCCCGAGTAACAAATTTTAGGCCAATGGGATCAATTTTGTAAAAAGTCATCCGCCATATTGAATCCGCCATTATGAATTTTGTAAAACTAAGTTCAGATTCGTAGTCAGCGACGCAAAAAACCCCCGAGTAACGAATTTCAGGCCAATTGGATCAATTTTTTTAAAAGTCATCCGCCATATTGGATCCGCCATTTTGAATTTTGAAAAACAAAGTTCAGATTCATAATCAGCGACCCCAAAAACCCCCAAGTAACAAATTTGAGGCCAATGGGATCACTTTTTTAAAAAGTCGTCCGACATATTGGATTCGCCATTTTGAATTTTGGAAAATTTAAAATTCAGATTAGTAGTCGCAGCGACCCCAAAAACCTTCGAGTGAGAAATATCAGCCAGATTTAAACACATCTATTAGTTAATACTTACTTTTCTTCACAAACTATGCGTCGGACAGTTTAGGTTTATATTCATTATTAATTATACAGTTTTAATGAAGTGTGCAAAGGTTAACTATTTTTCTGTATACTTTTATAATGCATGAGAAGAGATTACAATGAGTTGGGAGCATTTAGAAGCAAAATTCAACATGTGCTTTTCAAATATGTGGTATTTTGATTTGAGTTACGTTTTAAAATTTAATGTTTGAAGTCATTGCATTCTTTGTGTAAAGGAGGCACACATTCCTGTATGGGTTCAAATTACTTCTTATTAGGTAGATAATATAATCCCGTTGTGCCGTTACTCAAAAACCTTCGTTAAAAAAGTTATATCAGTTTAACTGCTAACTTGTAGAAATTTTGAAAAAGTTGTCTCGCAAGTTTGAAGCTACATAGTTTTTATTCAATTTGAGGCACATCATTGTTTCATGGATTTTTTAGTTCTTTACACTCCCACCTACTTCTATTGCACGCCACAAGACACACAATGTTTCGTTAAAAAAGTTACAGTCTATAAACTAAAAAAAAACAGTCAATATCACACACTAGAAACTTTCGATTTCACCACTTTAACTTACGTTCGTCATTTCCTACATAATTAAAAAAATTATATAACGCATGATACATTTAAAAAGCCCTATAATTGGTCAAATTATGGTATTGAAAAATTATTTAAAAAATTCTTAAGGTATCATAATGAGCGATAACATAAAGTTTAAAAGTTCAAGAGATATGCCCATATAAGAAGCACCAAATAAAGAAGTTCTGCGCAACTTTTGTGTGTGGCTAGCTGATTTCTAACTTGGGTGCTTTGAGTGCCCAAGCCTGATGGAGTAGCATAATCAAGTCTTAGTAACAATAACGTGGAACATCAGCTCGTCAAACACTGAGCATAATGGTCGCACAAAATCATGCTCCACATATTCCAAAGCAAAGAGCTGCTGCACTTTCACTGCATGGAACAATCAGAAGAAGATTGATGATTTTATAATGTCTCGAGAACGATGACGAGAAGAGTGTGCTTCAGGTGCGGAGAAGCTTATCATAAATTTGCAGACTGCAGGAAGAGCCCAAACAGCTTTTTATGCAAGGTGTAGTATGACGGAAAGGTGAAAACCGACTATGTTGCAGGTAGTGGATTCGGAGTCTTCAGATGACTCCTTAAAGAGGTGAAGAAGACCCTCGCAAGAAACCAGAAGAAATAGGCCAGAAAAAAAACGACACGGAAGAGTCGCAGAAGTGACTGAGAACCTTCCCATACAAGAAAAACCAAGTCTGACAATGGATTGAGGTTTGATTCTAGATTTAACATCTGGCCTGTATATCGCCAGCCAACTGTGGTTCAAATTTGAATATCAGTACTCATCCCAACCACATTTGATGCCTGGTACAATTGTCATTAGCTTGGAGACATCAATTCTGAATGAGGATTAAAGCTTTAAGCTTAAATCGGTGTTACATTTTCACTTTGATTTTTTCTCACCAAGACGTAACCAATATTGACCAAGCCTCAACCAAACCTGAGCAAGTTTGAAACCACACTGAGAGACCTTTTGCACCGCATCAGAACTATGCAGCACCACTATAGGTTTTGGTGCTCTGCATTCTAAATTTTGTATCGTGACTGCCCAAAAATGAAAATGAACCTTTCGGCCGTCAATTTTTTGGACAGCTACGCTCCAAAAATTGTACGGCTGGAGACCAAAAACGTAGTTTCATAGCTGACCGCTTGAATGCTCCGCAGCCGTCTGTCGAAAGTCTGTTACGGTGCAAAAGGTCTCTCAGTGCATTGTTGCTTCTCACCTGGGTCACTTACGAAGACTGAAGCCACAACAATTTGTTTAACATTTTTGCAACGAAATTTTAGATCGAATTTGATATTACCGACTGGCCAAATTGAGGGTTCACATACAATAAGGGGACGCGCAGTATTTTCGTTAGCCCCTCGCGCAGCCACAGAATCGCTGTACGCGGGGACTTTCACTTTCATGCGTATCCCCTTATTGCATGTGAACCCTCAATTATAATTCTAAAACGAAGAAATGACTATTATCATAAATTTTAAATATATAATAAGGAATTATAAGAGACAGAAAATAATAATTACTTCTAGATAAATTTGAAGCTTTTATAAATAATTCAAATATTTGATTATATGGCAAAATACCTTTACTTGGATTAATAAACAATCACTAATGTTACTATTCAGAGAAGCATTGCTATACGCAAACTAGTATTAAAGTTTCCTTTGTTTCAAACTATCATTAATATAAATTACTATTATTTCAAACTACCATTAATTGAAACTATCGTAACTTACACCAAAATTGTTTACTCAGATAATCAATCCTTATATATTAATATAGAAATTTCGCTATAAAATTTTAATAACGACAATAAAACTGATTTCTTTTTCAATAAAATTAAAATACTGAATATAATCATAATACTTTTATGAAAGAAGTTTTTTTCTTATTTTACTTTTGTTACGGTTGGAAAAAAAAAATTTTTCTGCACCACAAACCATTTTCACCGAATGAGGTCATAACATACCTATATTTTACAGATTTTCTCTGTATACACGAAAATAGAAAGAGATTTTCTTTTTCAGTTGTGTCACAATTTACGTGGAAATCCAAAATCCTGTTAGCTGCGACTTTTCTCTTATAACAAGTACATGTAATTGGAGACATTCTAATTGGAAATAAAATAAAAAAAAGAAAAATGAGAACGAATCTTTTCAAGTATATTACTAGTGCTTCGAGTAATTAAAAATCTCGTTTGAAAATCTGGTTCAGATATTAATAATAATATATTTGATGTAAAAAAAATAATTCGTGAATATATTATGTCAGATTCCACTTTATTAAAATTTAATTATTTTATTTATTATCCAGATTTCATATTGAATGCAAAATATTCTACCTCTCTCTATGCTATATATATATGTATGTGCCATTCCAGGAGTTTTTTAGCACTTTTCGGAGTAACCTTTCGAAATTAAATGAAACATTTTTTTAATAATATTTATTAATATAAAGGTCCAAAAAAATCACTTTTTAAGTAAAAACAATTGTTTATTTAAAAAATACAACAATAAATAATGCAAAAAATTCACTTTTTTCCTGCAACTCCAAATAAATTGGTTTAAAGATCAAAATTTTCCTTATTTTTCAAGCTTTAATACCGCACAAAAAACATAGAGTCCGAGAAAATATTCAACTCACAATTTTTTAAACAATGTTTGTTTACTTTTTTGTATTTTATTTACTGTGAAACGTCTGCTAAAGCTGCGCGCGACGTTTGGAAGTTGTCGCTTTCGTTATTGAGCAGAAGCTCATTACACTAGCGTAGTAAAAAACATGTTGTGTGAAAAGTGAGGTTTTTCATCCTTCAAAAATGTTTTTTATGATTTTTTACTGCAAAGTAGATAATTAAAAACCATTCAATGTGATAACCAGAAATTTTTACGTTTCGTTTAATGACAACATAACCTCACTTTTCGCACAACATGCTTTCTACTACGCTAGTGTAATGAACTTCTGCTCAAAAAGGAAAGCGACAACTTCCAAACGTCGCGCGCAGCTTTAGCAGA